AAAAGCTTCTGTCTGTGTGGAGATTTAAAGCTAGATTATGCTATTTATTTATAATCTTTAGTCCAGATTATATGATCTGCAATTTTAACAATTATAAGAAGAAGTTGTTATGAATCTGAATCTTTAATGAATCTCATAAGTCAAGAACACTGCAGGGGCCACGAAGTGATGCATCACACAATAGAAGCTATGCAGGACAGCCGCCGTAGCGCCCCTGTAACCTTACTCTATCCCTAAGAAGTCAAAGTACCCTCGTCCCCATTCTGCCAACAGTAAGATACACCAACCCGCTGAATGCAGAGAATCCTACACAGAACAGTTCCATTCATAGTATAATTGATAGTGAATGGTTAAGAGTCTCAGCACATGCCATCAAATTATGACGTGCAAAGAGAGCATTATCCTTCTCACAACACAACACACAGACACGGCAAATAATGGGACGCTTGACATTTAACAAGATTAGCATTTCAGCTAATCTGTGGCCTTAGCCCAGTTTGCTACTCTCCATTGTTTTACTATTGTCTGATAATCAGAAGCACCTGAGGAATGATGAGTGTAATCACTAAACACTGCACAGATACGGAGGAACTGAAAGCATTAACTGTGGAAAGGAGTATCTGTGATTTGACCTGATATGTTTATAATTTACACAGTTATAAAAAATAATGTTTAGAAAACAGTAATTTGAGGCAAATTACACACTTCAAAGTCCAAGTACATCAATCAACCCTAAAAGCCATCTTTTAACATAATAACAAGCTTCCATTCCAGCATTTGGCTCATAAGTAGACTGGAAGGCTGAAGGCTCAGAGAGTTTAGATTTAGCCCTAAAAGTGCTGACTGGAGGGGAAAAACTCAACGATCACTGAAATGGCTCTTTTGAAATTACATATTGAATCTGTAAATGTTTTACGAGTTAAAGAAAAAAAACAGACTGAACGAACGGAGCTCAAACACAGATGCAGAACGCAACACCTGCAATCTGTTCACATTCAAATAATGCTTTCATTCGCACCTTTGTGCCGGCAGAGGCAAAGGTTTCGTAATTATTTAAGTAAAGATCTTGTTTGATCATATATGATCAGAGTGAATAAAATGGATTAGTTCCAGCAGAAGTAGAATATACGGCACTTGAACACCCAGAACACCAACATAAATAAAAAATAACTTGATGGGTGAGTTTAAAGCGTTCTTAGATAAACATATACACACACACGTGCACAGAGGTGTACTAACAGGCACATTTCTTAGTTCTGTCTGCGCAATACAAAATTCATGATCTGAATGAGCCCACAGATGGCTGCCAATTTCTTACCCTGACATGCTTTTTCTGAACATTATGTTCATCTGTGCATGCTTTTCATTGTGCAAGTCCAGCAAGTCTGCAAGTACTCGAATTGGAAAAAGTTATTCTTTCGGGACTGAAAGCCGGGATGACAAACAAGGAATTTTTCAGTATTTATTCTGAGCCTAAAAAGACAGCAGCGAGGATTATACAGTCCATAGAAGTTGTCCTGCCGTGGCATGTGTGGCATAATATTTCTGACACATTTAGCACTGACAGACAGAAAAAGACGACTGGCTGACGCTACAATGACACACAATGACCATTTGGACCAGGAGATTAAGCCTCATCCAATTACTAAACTCATCCAGTAATCACATAAACAATACACATCTGGGGGGCTCCATAAAAATAGAAACTCCTACCAAGTCAGAGTGTGTACGATAATGGGAGCGAAGGCAAAACAAACAACAGCAACGAAAACGCCAATAGAAACAGACTGCAATTGGGAGCGAAGGTAAAACAAATGAATAAATGATTGTGTTTTCTACCCCGAGGCTCCGTGGCGACAGGGGTGGGGTCGAGTTTTCAAGTAAGGTGGAGGCAGAATAAAGGAAATAGAACATGGCGAGTGGAAGCTTCTGAAGAAAGAAGGTCTGGGTGGAGAGGAAGAGAGGAGGAAAAGTAGGAGGTGATGAGGGACTGGGGGAGTAAAGTGCAGAGAGAGGCAAAACTGGAGCAAGAGAAGGAGGGAGGAGGGAGAGAGATGTATATTAGCACGCCTGTTTCTGCAGTGACTGCCTGGATGTGATAAATGTCCTGCAGATAGCAAACAGATATCGTGCAACTCAACACAAACGTCACTTTTTTACAGACTCTGCTGTCTGTGATTTACACTTTCATTCATTTATTCTTTGTGATGGTAACATGAGATCTATAATGATAGTAAGCTACTAATGAAAGCGTCAAATGAAACATGAAACTCATGAGGTTATGACTGAATCCTTACAGGAGGTAACACTCCAGTGTAAGTGTTAAAAAGCACAACTTAAATAACTGACCATCCACTGTTACACATTTCTGCCTTAGCTACAAATGTGGATTCATGTCGAGCACCGTCTGTTCAGATGGCTGCGTGATTCACATCACTCTATGAAAGGTTGTCATCATTTTTTGTTTATTTTAGTGTAAATAAATTTTATTAAAAGACCAAAGCCGTCAGGAGCTGGCTCTGTGACCCAGCATTTTGAGTTTATTTTATATTTTTGATTTCTTATGTTATTTTGGAAATATGTAAAGTTATTGTGCTGTTTTTTTAGTTGGGGTTGAGTTGTGTTTAGTCTAGTCTAGGTTTCATCTATGCCCCTGTGTTTGTGAGTCTTTTCCTGTCTTCTGTGTCCGTCTGTCATGTGTATCATGTCTACATTTCTCCAGGTTTCCTGTTTTATTTTGAAAGTCTTATATTTCCATGTTCATTGTGTTTAGTTTTACTTTCCTTTGTGGCATCATGTTTATTTGTGTCAGCTGTGTCTCCCCGTGTTTCCACTTCCCTCATTACCCTCCTCTGTATTTAAGTCCTCCTTCTGTTCTTTGGTGGGTTTTCTGTTTGTCTTTATGTCACAGAGTTTCTGCTTCCTACTGTTCGGGTTCATGCTCAAACTCACGTTTGGATTATTTCACAGTTACGTTTGTTCCCGTTCAGTTTCATGTTCTTGTCGCTCATCATAGTTTTCACAGTCTAGTTTTCCCAGTTGAGGTTTTCGTTTTCGTTTTCACTCCATAAAAACACCGGCGTTCTCTGGCCGTGACAAAAGTCTTGTTTTTTTCTTACGCATGTTTCACTTTAACTGCTGAATTTTTTAAGAAGAGATTTTCTGAAAACTGGACACCACAGTGCTGTCAAATTTGCTTAAAAAGGAGAACATTTGTTAGGGAGGATCTTAAGCTATAGATTTAACACATATTGTCGTGGTTCTGGGGACCCAGTGTTTATCTTTTAGATCATTTCTTTTCTGTGATTTTATTGGTTTTTCATGGTTTTGTCTTTTTTTCTAGCTCTCTTAGTTATTCTTTAGTATTTTGGTAGTTTCTAGCCCTCTGGTTTTGTTACTGTGCCTCCCTTGTGTTCCCCGTGTTACGTCTAATTATCCTGGTTTCTATGTTCGTGTATTTCCTGTTTTACTTTGAGAGTGCCGTGTCCTATGTTAAGAGTATTCTGCTTCCTCCCTGTCTCGTGTGTGTCATTAGTCCCAGCTGTGTTTCCCTCCTGGTCCTCGTTACCCTCTTGTGTATTTAGTCCTCTGTCTTCCTCTGTCTGTTGGTTTGTCTGCCTTTCTCCCCCCGTGCTTCCATGTTTTAGGTTTCCTGTTTTCAGACGTGACACATATTGACAGTTTTCTTGAATATAAAGGCTGTATTCATGGGAATTTCAAAAAAAAAATCGTTCTCCTCTAGGTCTTCTGGTTTTATGAAGGTCTTTCAAAGATTTTCTATGAACATTAGCTGCTTGTTCGCTCATTTTCAGTCCAGTCCTCGTACTTGTACCTGACCGTTTTCAGAATCGTGTTTGTTTTAGTTCGTTAAGCCCCTTAATACTGACCTATGAATCATTCAAGCATAAAAATGCATCATAAACCAAAGCTGTGTCTACACATAACAAAATAGCTCATTTTAAATCGTATCCTCGGGCGCTTCGCTACAAACAGCTTGTTTTAAAAAAACTGAATTTATGAAGATGATAAATGCTAATGCTAACAGTGTGAGAGGCATCAAACTGTATGTTTTAACCAACAAGGTGAAACTAAGGGAAAAATCTGCAATATAAACCCTTTAAAGACAAAAAAAAAACATTTATACTGAAAACTATTATTTCCAATAAACAAGTTACACAGCAGAACAAGTTTGTGATACCTGTATTCAGTCAAGAGAGCATTATTTAATCGAGTATTGCACTGAATGAGTTTATGAAGTCAAAGAAAATGGGCCTGAGTAGAGACGAGCGGAGTTTAATCTGTGACAGCAGTCAAACAGGGGTGTCATTGTGCCTTCAGCACATGTCAAAGATTACAAGTTTGTGCAGAGGTTGTGTTACAGAGCTACGTTTTTTTTCTGCATGCTGGGTTTCAGCTACTTCTGTCTCCAGCCACGCAGTCGTGGCACACATAGATATCCATAAAGTGCTGGATTATTTATAACTATGTTGGGCTTTTGCTTTATGTATCTGGGTTAAATCACAGTAATTACGCCCCGACTGCATGAAGAGAAAGAAGGAAAAGTAAACAAGAAGCACAGAGGAAGACAGAAGACTGAAGGAGAAGCTGCTGAAGACAAATCTATTTATTTCTGTTTCCTGCTGTCTTACTCTTACTCTGCTATATTTATAATTTCACAGTATTTTAGTAACATTCTTCCTCTTTTATGTCCTCTACTTCACATCCTGTCACTACCGCACCACCACATTTCCTTCTTTCTTCTTCCGTCTTTCTAAATCTTGCTTTGGCGTCTTCTCAATCTCAGCTTTATTCCCCTTGGCCATCCTCCTGCTTTAACCCTCTTTTACTCATTTCTACCACAATCTTCTGCTTGCTCAAAATTTAAATGGCTGTTGGCAACAGGCCTGATTGATCTCGTGGCTGCCTATTAGTGTGGAGGCCTGTAGCCTGCTCCTAAATGTCCTAGAGGCACTCTGAAAATCATTCCTGTTGGTGTGCACTCAGTCCCTACTCTGAGTGTGGAACAGCTTCTCAGTGGACTGCCTGGCAAGCACCATAAAATGTACCATATGGCAGAAATCCTCTAATACTAACAATTCACACGAGAATCTTTAGTCAAAAACACTAGAAGGCTTTATATGTTTATTATATGCTGGTTGATGGCAACACAGAAAAATCAGTTTTCTACTTGAAGGAACGGTGTGTGTTACAGTCACGCATGATGCAAAAACACCTGACTTTTACATGTAAGCCTGCAGTTCTTGTCTTCAGTCATAACAACACATCAACATAATTCTCAGACCACAAAACTAAAAACTAAACAGTATGTTTTCATACATTGTGCATCCATTTTCAATGAATACAACAAAATTAAGACTGGAGTAGAATTGATTTGATGCTCTGTGCATCGTATGAATACTGTACTAAACTGCATCTAATCTTATTTAAAGACTCATATTTTTACATATTAGTCGTGTATATTTGTGTAGAGTGAAAAAAAAATGAAAGTTGGAGGATGACAAACTACTGTGAAAACTGTTTCTTTTTTCAATACTTATCTATTTTATCTATTTATTTTATTTTAAAAATAAATTTTCATTGATTTCATCATCCTGTATATGAATATAAAAATACTTGTCCATCTATCAGTGTGATTACCAAGATATAAAGGAAATGTTGTCGTCATCTTCTAGTTTCCTGTGTTTCTCAGTCACCGAGTTCATATAATTACCTGCTCACACTCTGCTGGACAGCTTAAAGCACAGAGATGTTCCTGCTCCTTTCTCTTCAGGTGTGGTCTGTGCTTTCTCTCTCAGTCTGATATGTCTGATAAAGCCTCAAAGACTTGTACCACTTTCACAGGTGAATACCTAACCACAAAAGGCAGCTTCTCAAGAGAGGTTGCAAGCTCACCCAGAGCAGCCAATCATGACCGAGACATTCGTGAGTCAATACAATTGAAGGTAAAGCAGAAGAGGCTTGCAGTGAACCCTTCTCCTTTCTAAATGTTAAAGTGCTGCTAAAGGTCACGGAAGGATAGAGGATTATTGCAGATTTCCACAGAGAGAGCTGAAGACAGAGAAGAAGAGGAAAAGGAAAACTAGAAGGGCAAAAGCTAAAAGGCTGGCAAAAACAGGATCCAAAAACAGAGTTTTGTTTAAACATGTCCACTTCAGGAAAACTCATAAAAGCTATATAACAGTAGATATTTTGCTTGTGACAGAATCAAACTATCTTTTGCCTTTGCCAGCAAATCACAGAGAGGAAAAAATGAGTAAGGAGGGAGATATATGCTGAGAAAACCCATAAAGATGAAGTAAACAAAGCAGAGTGTAAAGAAATACGTTGACAAGATGTAAAACATAAAAAATGGAAGATGGTGGGCCTGAAAGAGGGAGAAACTAGGGCACAAGCAGGAGGAAACGACACGCCGGTATTCTTTAAAGTTGAGCCATCGCAACCACTAAATCCCCGACGCCGCCTGCCAGGACTCATCACGCCCGGTCCTGCCTTGTCCCCTGGCGCCATCGTACCTTCCAGAGCTTCATTCATTCGTCCATAGCCATCTGCCTCGCTTCCCTCTACTGCAGGTGGCAGGAGAGGAGGTGGAGAGCAGTGCATTCATACTTTAATTTTCTGACCAAGTTCCCCTGACTTGTCTTCTCAGGGCTGCGTTTAGGAGACGTGGAGGTAAGCGCATCTACACATCTGGGTACCTTCTGCTCTCTTGTTCTTGTTTTTCTCTCTCTCTAAGTTTAGAAGTTCATTTTTTAGTGGGTCATCCTGTTCTTCTGCTGAAGTCTCTGTTCTCTGTGCTGAGAGTCAAACAAAACACACACACACACACACACACACCATTCTACATTTCGCCTCTTTCTCCTCATTCATCCCTGCACTAGCTTCACTCTGTGAGCTGTATTAATTCATGCCAGCATTGACAA